ATGAGGATAAAGACAATATTGTATTTACGTATCAGCATTATCAAAAGTAAATTTCCGAATCATTAGTTTGAAAATACACAAATAATAAAACTTTTGCTTTATAAAAATTTTCGAGATCTTTATAGCATTTCTGTTGTTATATTTATTGCATAAAATGAAAGGTCTGTCATCACAGAGAATCACTATGAAAACAAATACATTTGAAAAGCAAATAGCATAATTCTATGTATTTTCGTTAAAAAATAACTACGATAAAAGAAGATAGTTATATCATAAGACTATGAAATGGTCGACCGTGCATTATTTTTAATACCCTTGAGATAACACGTTATTTCTTTTTTTTGCCTTCAATTTCAACGAGTTCGACTCTGCAACAACCAAATTCTCTTCTATAATCGCTTGTTTCAGGACTTTCTCCAAAGTGTATCTCCGACTCATACTCTTCAAAATATTTGTCATCAGCCTCTTGGATGATTGGTGATTGGTATAATCGCATTGCTGTTCTTTTCATAGCTGTTCGTGCAAGTTCTTCAGAAACGAAGCAACGTTGGCCAATTTCATCCATTTCAAAATCATATTTGTATCTAGAAAAAAATGAAGTCAAGACCCAAACTGCATTTACTTCAGCTGGAAGACGAAAAAAAATATAAAATTTTCAGAATACTTGGTCTCGTAAAAGCACATACAAACACAAAACCATTTTAATTACCTTCGACTTGCGGGGCTTTTGAAGTTTTTGTTTCTTGTGAAGTCTTTGCTTGCGAAGTTTTTGTTGACATATTTTTAGACTACAGGAAACGGTTACAGTTAAAAACTGAAGGCCATACCAGAAAATTTATCTATTTCAGTATTTATTGGTTTTTTTTCAAATGTAAACAAACCACCCCTGAAAACAACACGAACCTAGCATAATCACCCCGATCAGTTCCGTACGGAGTTGAAATTAATGACGATGCCTGCATCACGGCGAATTTATAAAATTTGGTCACCAAATCCGACCCCCAAAGTAAATCTTAGTTACCAATTTACATATTAATAAATCGATACCAAACCCCGA